ACCAGTCACCAGCTCTGAGTCATCAAGTGCCGACGATTTCCTTAGTACTGAAGAGCAGAAGATGTGGGGTGGAGGCATCTTCAGACCAGCACCGAAACACCTCAACATCCTTCGCCTTACTTATTTTAAATTCACAAAATGGTGACCATCATACTCTTGGCTTAACCCATATTAAAAAAGAAAACCAAAAATCAAAAACGATGATTTAATTGCTACCACATAATAATTGGGATATTTCCCACAAATGCAGATTTTCAGTGTCTCTCTGAAAACTGGAAGGTGTGGAAAACCTGGGCTTAGAGTCTAGGCAACAATGCTCAACTAACCTCCAGCATCAGCTGCTACTCCTGAGATCAGATGTTTCGACACCTGACAACCTTGCTGAAGATACCTTTCCTACCTGCATTCTCCACAGTAGTGGTTCTTAAAAGCTGGCTTCACCTTCGTGTTATGTGAAGATACCTAAAAATAATTGATGCTCATGACTTACCTCTGGACATGTTATATAATCCGTCTTGGGGAACAGGACAGATTTTGGATGTTGGTAAATTCCCTAGGCAATTTTGTGGCATGTTCAAAATTGAGGGCCACTTGGATTTAGCCTTTATATGCATCACCTGGCCATCTTGTTAACTGCAGCTTGTGAGCCAGTAGGTTTAGGGTAGGACCTCATATTCAGCCTTTCTAACATGCTCTTAATTCTGACAAAGCTGTTAGTCGGTGGGCCTTGTGTTGAGTTAGATTCCAGGACATTTGTATTCATTTGTTTGTGTTTGGAACTCTAAAATGCACACGTGTTTCAATCCTAATGGAAGTATATTCTAACACGACAGTTAATGCACTGGCTGGAGTACAGATGGTCAGCCAGTAACCGCATCCTACTGACTTTTTGTTGTTGAGGAAGGATATCATCTCCGTTTGTTTTGTCCACTCAAATTCTTTCTCTATAATGCAGGTTCTTGATTGACTCTGATTTCCAAATCATCTTTGCTGCTATGTGACATTCCTGTATCCCTGGAGGGAGTTGCACATCTTCTGACATTTTTAGGCACCAGCCAATGCCAGTGTCAACAATTTGACCAGTACCAGTTGAACTGTGTGTCCTGGTTAGCCTTTCTCTCTCTCTCTCTCTCTTTTCTTTCTTTCTTTCTTTCTTTCTTTCTTTCTTTCTTTCTTTCTTTCTTCCTTTCTTTCCTGTTTCTCTCTCTCTCTCTCTCTTCCTTTCTTTGTTTTTGTTTTGTTTTGTTTCGGTTAATTTGACATGAGGTGGAGTCTTTCTGGAGAAGGGAATCTCACCTGAGAAGATTCCTTGATTATATTGGCCAGTAGGCAAGTCTGGGGGACATTTTCTTGATTAACTCTTGATATGGAAGAACCCAGACCATTGTAGGTGATGTCACCCCTGGGAAGGTGGTCCTGGATTGCATAAAAAAACAAAAAGGCTGAGGAATCAGTGAGGAGCAAGCCACAAGCAGCTCCTCCATGACCTCTGCTTTAGCTCCTGCCTTGACTTTCCTTCAGGATAGACTGTAGAATATAAAATGAAATTAGCCCCTTTCCCCTAAAGTTCCTTTCTGTTTTGGTCTTTATCCCATCAACAGAAAGCAAACTAGAACAACTGTGTCTATATGACATATGAGCATTTTATTGGAGTGGGTTCCAGGATGTCTTGAAAGCCCTCATGGCAACCATTCTCAAACCCCAGGATGCAGCAAATGACCTGGAGTTTCCTAAACAGTTTTTTTTTTCCACTCCAAGCTGACATTTTTGGTTTAGTGAAGACCCCGAATTTAAATTTCCAGTAAGCTTCAAAGAGATGCGCATGGCTCTGACTCAAGTATCTGGAGGTTTTGTAGAAAAGAAAGGCAAGCAAGTCACACAATGGGCCCCCGGCCTTATCATATCAGCTTCTTGCTTTATAACAGTTACATTTTGTGTTTCCAGATAAGATTTTACTCAAGAGAAAGTTACTAGAAAACACAAGTTTAAGGCTGTGCCTCAAAGGTTAAGCATTTGTCATGCAAGGGTAAATACCCGAGTTCAGATCCCTAGCATTCAAGTAAACGCTGGGTGGGCATAGGGGCTCAACTGCAATCCCAATGCACAGGAAGTAGAGACAGGTGATCCTTGGTGCAAACTGGCTAGCTGGACTATCTGATGGGGTGCTCTGGGTTCATGTGGGAGACCCTGCCTCCATAAATAAGGTGGAGAGTGATTGTCAATCACATGCATGCACCTGCATATGCATACATATACATGTGAGCATGTATAGACACACACACTCCAAGAATGAATACTGATATTGTATTGACACTGCTTTTAATTCATAGAACCTATGGGAAATGGAAATAAGATACCATACTTGCTGTGGGACAATGGTCTGTACCCTGTCACTTATATTTTAAATAAACGCTGATTGGCCAGTAGCCAGGCAGGAACTACCAGGCAAGAAGTAGAAGTGGGGCAAGAAGAAGAGGAGAATCCTGGAAAGAGGAAAGAGTCAGTCTGCAGTTGTCACTCAAGCACAGAGGAAGCAAGATGTAACTGCCTTGCCAAAATGATACCAAGCCACATCGCTAACACAGACAAAAATTATGGGCTAAAATAAGTTATAAAAGTTAATAAGAAGCCTGAGTGAATGGGCCAATCAGTTTATAATTAATGTAGACCTCTGTGCGTTTCTTTGGGAATGAACGACTGTGGGACCTGGTGAGATAGAAACCTCGGTCAACCCATACTAGTGATGTGTGGGAAGTTACCAATTTGATACAAATGAAACAGACAGGTTATTTGGTTCCATGCATGGAGAAATAACTTTATTTTCCTTCCATGTGATCCTCTCTGACATAAGCTCTGTGTTGTGTTCAGCTATGATAGGAAAAAGTCAAAGAAAGCATAAGTGTACAATAAATTGCTGAAGACTTGTCTAAAAGAAGAAACGTGATTAGGGCTCACATACTGTTTTCAGGTTGACTAGACTCCTATGGTGGGGTCTCTTTACAAGTCTCTAGGGAGCGCAAAAGGAGGACATAGCTGGAAAAGTTCATAGTTTTAGTTTCCTCAGAGGTGAACCCAAGGAAAACATTTGTGAGTGTTTATTATTTTAGTCATCTTAGTTTGGATTAGATCCAAGGACTTCTACCACAGGACACACATCATTCCCATCCACCAGACGGCTCTGCATTTAGCATAGTACAAAGAATGTTCCCTGCTTTCTTAGATTCTTATTGCTGTGATAAAAAAAATATACCGACCAAAGCTACTTAAGGGAGAAAGGGTTTAGCTCACAGTTCCAAATAGTCTGTCATCACAGGTAAGTCAAGGAATCCACAAGAACTTGAATTAGCAGGTCACGATTATGTCCTCAATGAGAAAAGAGCAAAAACTAATGCGTGTATGCATAGGGTTCAGTTTCTTTTCTCTACTCAGACAGTCCAGAACTTCCTGCACAGGGGGGTAATTACTCTACTCATAATTAAGATGGATCTCCCTATACAAATGAACATAATCAATATTTAGAGAGATTCTACAAAGTTTAGGCTGACTTGAACTTCAGACTCTCATGGCCACAACTTCAAAGTGCTGGGATTGCAGGTGTCCCGGTTACCACAGCCCACATGACAGGTGGATTCTTAAATATGATGTGAGCAGCTGCCTGCTTTTTGTCTTTTGTCTTCACCAGACACCAGGAGTAACAGAAACATTAGTGTACCAAGGAAATCTCCGATTTATTGGAATGTGAGTCACCTTTAAACGCAATTGCATCTGCGAAGAATAAGCTGCGAATTTCATCTTTTCCCGTCTGCTTCCAACACTCACATTAATACAATACCAAATTTAGAATTTGACAAAAGACTAAGTACTTGGTTAAGAAAAAGTAGGATTCTTGCCAGAGTACTGGAGAAGAGCCGCAAAAAGGAACTTTAGGAAGAGAAGGGTGGGTGGCTGCAGATCCCTGAACTGCAAAATAAGCCATATTCTGGGAGTAATTTTTTTTTTTTTTAAAGTTCAAGAATTCCTGAAGATTTTCAGAGAACAAAACCCGGGCTGACATCTTCTCGTATCATGGGAAGGTTGAGCCAACTTCACTTTTTTCTTTAGGAGCTTCAGGTGCGGTTAATGCTCCAAGGATCTGCATTTTTCCATTTTAGAAAACATAGAATTCATTTGAGCTGCTGCCGGCCAGAAGCCTTAGAGGGCGGTGGGCTATCTGAATGACCTACATAGGCCCAGCGGCACAGAACTCTTTCCCCCCGCCAGGTCCCGCCTGGCTCGGGAGGCGGTGGTGCCAGGGTTTTGCAGGCGGCCGCAGGCTGCAGGCACTCCTTGCTCCGGCTCACCCTTTCACCCCTCCTTCACCCCAGGAGTGCCACGCCGGGTGGCGCGGTTTTTCTGACCACTAGGGAAGCCGTGCTGGCGAGGCCAGGAATTACAGGGCCTCCCTTCTTGGGCGAGCCTTGGCATCTGCGTCCTCCGGCTTCTGAAACTCTAGTGTGTTCGAAAGACGCAGGGTCTCGAAGATAGCAGGTAGCAAGCCGGGTTCCCAGGAGGCCAGAACTTATCTTCCACCTCCCCCTGGGTCCCCACCTCCATTCCCAGTCGGGCCCGGGAGACGCCCCGCAGACGAACCAGCCCCAAGCGCGCAGAAGTAGAGCTCCGCAGCGGGGACCGCCCGCCGTCCGGTCGCCTGGGACATCCCCGTGCCGGGGGCGGAGGCGAGGGCGGCGGAGGAGGGGATTAGGGGTAGGGGCGGTAGGCACCGAGTACTGTGCCCGGACCCTGTTCGCCCGCCCGGAGACTGGTAGAGGCGGAGGGCGCGGCTCGGGCTCTGGGGGCGGGGTCTCGGGCGCTGATTGGTGTGTGTCTGGGGGCGGGGCGGAGGGGCGGGGCTGGCGCCAGGCGCTGGAGCCGAGGGTGCACGGCAAGGAGTAGCGAGCAGCTGGAGCCGAGTAGGAGGAAGCAGCGGCTACGGCGAGGACGGCTGTACAACCGAAGAGCTTGAACAGCGAAGCGCCGGCGGGTCGCAGCTGGATCGCAGGCGCCTGGGAGCTGGGAGCTTGAGAGGCCGCTGAAGCCCAGGCCAGGCAGAGGAAGGAAGCGAACCGCTCCGGAGGTAGGTGGCGGCGGTGGGTTCCCGTGTGCCCGGGAGGGGGAGGCAGTGCGAACACGCTCGGCCGCTGCTCTTCCTGTCACCGGCAGCCGCTTCTGCTGCGGAGCCACTCGAGGGGAAGCGACCCAGCTGCCAGCCCCCAGTCGCCAGCATCTCTCCGCCGCTGGGAAGCCTTCTCGGGCCAGTGGCTAGCCTGCATGGTCGCGACCACCTCCTGCTGTCGTTTCCTCGGTGCTACCCCGGGCTGGTTTTGCTCGCTACCGGACGCATTCGGTCCGGGAGTTGCCAGCAATCGCCGGCTCCCCTCCTCCTTCGTCACCTCACGCTTCCGAGGGTCCCCTATTGCCCTGCAGCTTCCTGGAACCGGGAGCGCGCGAGGAGAGCGCCTGGATCTCTGTCTTTGCAATAGCGTGACGTCCCCTCCAGGCCCGGCAGCTGCTGCCGGGGTCGCCGGCCAAGCTGGGCCACGGTGGTCCCCGGAGCTCGCCCCCAACCCCCGCCCTCCGAAGTTTGCCGCCCTCCTCTTCCGGGGTGGGGGAAGTGCGCCTCGGGGCGGTCGGTGGCTGGGGCTCTAGCTTGGCGTCTGGCGCCCGCCGGGCTTGGGCAGGTTGCTGGAGGCATAATGAGTGGGATCCTGGCACCGCCCGGAAATCCAGCTTTTCCTAACGCGGGGCAACCCTGGAGGGACCTGCCCAGCAATATGCGGCCGACCCGGGAGAGCCGGCCCCGCGTACAAGCCTAGGCTAAAATATCAGGGGGAATTGTCTGCAAGCCACTTCCTTCCCAAAGGCAGAAACTGCCCGGCAGATCACGAGACAAAGAGAATAGAAACGCTCTGACCAGGCACGCATGTACAGAAATGCATTTTGGTTACCAGCTTTCGCGCACAATAATGCAAGGGTGTGAGCGGAGTGGCAGTGGCATGTTGAATGCTGTGTGCCGGCACTGGATTCAGGGGAATTCTGCTCCTGGCGCTGCTAATACCGGAAAGGTCTCGCTTCCACCGTTAATTCTCGAAGGAGCTGCAGGCTCTGGTTATGTACTGGTGTGAGTTTAGGCTTTATTTAGGGGTTTCATGGTTTTAGGGCTTAAAAATCCCCCCCCCTTTCTTTCCCTGTCTTTCCTCTTTGTCAGACAGTGCGAAGTAGGAAAGGATAAAGCAGTTCCGGGTTTTGAATGTAGCATGAGATTGTCATTTTTAGTGAGCTCGAGTTTCAAGTTTTAGGTGGTAGGAGCATTCACAGAGCTGGTTGACCTAGACTCCATGTGGAGCCCTATCTTAATATTTCTTTAGCTCATGGTGTGTTTTGGACACCTTAAAGATAGTAAATTATGAGCAAAAAAAAAAAAAAGCTTGGAGTAGTAGGCAGATGGGGTTATTTTCTGCCACAGATTAGCAGATTAATGGTTTCTAAAGTAGAAATCATTAGGACTTCAGGGCCTTCTGCACAGGTGAGGTGTCCCTGCATCGTTTGTCACTGAACAAGTAACCAGCACCTCATGAGATTTTTTTTTTTGACTGTTACACTCACTGTTTTTGAGAAAAAACGATTGGTTTTTTTTTAAGCATACAAGTTGTTTAAAATTTGGAAAACAACTCTTTTTGCTTATCACAAAGAAAATGATCCCGATTCTTCCTTCACCTTTTATAGTTCAAAGTCAGGTTGAAATAGGAAAGGCGAGTGGGTCGAAGCTCCTGGCTTTGCAGAAGTTCCCTGCAATGCCACCACCGGCCGCCTTCCTCTGTGCGCCTGTTGCAGGCCACACTCCTTTTCCATAGCAATCTGTCCGTTTTTGTGATTTGAAGAAAGTCGGACTTAGCTGATCCTGGCTCTCAAACGGCTGTGGGAGAGTTTGCTTTTAACTTTCATCTTGCCCTGGGACTCGTTCCTAGTTGCATAACAGAGCTCTGCCATGTGCACATTGTTATCTGCTGTTTAATTTGCATTTTTTATGATAGCACTCTGCTTTTTCACATCTGTGATGCACTGTAGCCATGTAAAAAAGTATTTCACTGCCCACTGATCCAATGTGTTGCTTTCTTTAGTTTTTTTTCTTTTCTTTTTTTTTTTTAAATAAAGTTGGTTTGGGGAGACAGCAATAGAACATGTTACAGGAATATGTGTTTTGACTGTTGTTGGTGAGTTTATGCGTCTATCTTTTGGAAATGTTAATTACACCTAAGCTGATAGATTGCTTTTTTAAAAAAAATTGTTAGTGTATATTAATTTTTTTGGAACTTTTCCTTTTTTATTTTCTTTTTGGTTTTTTGGAATGTGGTTTTTCTGTGCAAAGCCCTAGCTGTCCTGGAGCTAGCTCTGTAGACCAGGCTGGCCTTGAATGTGCAGAAATCCACCTGCCTCTGCCTCCCAAGTGTTGGGATTAAAGGTGTGCGCCACCACCGCCTGGCAACTTTTTGGGACATTTTTATACATGCATGTTACACATTTTGGTCGTACTCGCTCCCCCATTACCTTTTCTTGTCCCCTTTCTGCTGTCGTCTGAATGTCTCAGAAGGCTTTGAGTCTTAAGTACAAGTCTATGCAACTCACAAACTTTGTACCCTTAAAGTGTTGACTGTTCCTTTAAACTTTTGCCGTGAACACCATGAGCTTTAAGCTTATGGTGTTGATTGAAATTTCCTTTCTGTCCCCCTTTCTCCTTAGTAGTTCAGGGGAAGTGTTGTAAAAAGCATTCCCTTTGAAAAATTGTCCACATACTTGGTAAAACAGAAACAATTCTGATCCAGCTTTTATTGTGTTTGCATTTTTGATTTGCAAAATGTGTTTTATTGGATAGATAGTGAATGATCCAACTGGTGGGAGGGTGGGGGTTTATATCGTCAGCCAGCTGAGCTTACGTTTGAGTGAGCTTTTACTTTTAACTGTCTCATGAATAAAGTGTACATGAATAAGAACTTAGCCCCTGTCAGGCCATTGTGCCTATTGGGTTGGCCAAGCCCAGAGCCCCTTACATGGTGCAGGGCTTTGCTAGCAAAAGCAGGAAATGAGGCAGCTGATGAAACTTTGAAAAACTAGAAAGTGACCTGTCAATAGAAGGGGTTATCAGGTATGTGTGTGTGTGTGTGTGTGTGTGTGTGTGTGTGTGTATGTACACTCATTATTTTGGAGGCAGTGTTCTAAGTAGTCCAGACTGGCCTTGAACTCTGTCTACACATAGCAGAAGTTGACTTTGAACTCTTGAGCCTTTTACCTCTACCTCCCAAGCCCCTAGGGTTGGTTATAGGTTTGTGCCACCAAACTCAAATTTTTTTACTTTAAAATTAGACAATGTAAATTGTATCATTTTTTTCTTCTTGAAACCTCGGTTGGGGTTAACTTTTAAAGTTCTCATTATTTCTTGTGTTTTTTTAAGCCTTGTTTGTGTCCTCCCTAATGTGATTTTTTTTTTGGTCATGGTTTTGCCAGCATTCTTACTGAAATCACGTGCCTAAAGTAGTGGCAATTAAAGGCCATTTCTTGTACACTAAGGCCAAATGAACTGAAAAGTCGACTGTGTAATTACATATAGTTTGTCTGTTTGGCTTATGCTATCTCCCACCCCCCACCCCAATACCTTCTTCTGGTGAAATGTGGGATGAGTGTACTACAATCTTAACTGCAGGAATAGAAAGGGCCTGTGAAAACATCGTTGGAGATTTTGTTCTGCCGCCATTGTTTTCCTTAAAGTCAATCAAATGTGTAGCCATCAGCACCTGTAGTCAAAATAGTCCTCAGGTTAATGATCACCTGGGAGAGAACTGAAGCCATAGGAACCTGGCAAAGGGTCAGGAGGCCCCACCAGTGGCTGTTGTGAGTCTGCAGAAGCCAGATGCCTTGCCTGGCGGTTCAGCCTTTGCCCCTTGCCTTCATCCTTGGAATGCCTCTGTGGCTCTGAGGATTGGGCTCGTCCCTTGAGGACCCAGCTGCTCTCATTCTCCTGAGCATTGCGTTACCGTGCTCAGATTTTCCTTTCTGAGGGCAGCCTAGGGAGCAGCCATGAAACCCAATTAGACGACAGTGTCATGACTCCCACCTCGTGCCCTGTCACCAAGCAGGCTCATGGCACCATCCCTCCCACGTAACACCCCTCTGACCTCTACTCGGCTGCTTTCCACCTTGGGTTTGGAGAGAGAATTACTTGGGCTAAGTCCACAGGCAGGCTCTATCTGACTCTATTTACAGAAGGGTTTTATTTTAGGTAGCTTCGGGCTTCTTTTAGAACTGCTTGCAGCATTGAAAGGCCGCAGCAAGAGAGAATTCCTGGCACCTGTCTGTTTCTGTTTTAAATCTGCATTGTGTAAATGGCAGTGACATTCAATGCTGATATTGCTAGCAGTCCTTGTCTGCAAGAGCACCACCACCACAGTTGACTGTCACTTCAGGCACGCTATTTCACTCGGCTTTGTTTTCTCATCTGCAAAATGGGGCTGATAATTAAACCACGGCAGTTGTGAGGGTGCATGCAAAACTCCCAGCACTGTGCCTGGCACACAGCGAGCCCCGAGTCAGGGATAATTATATTAAGCTCGTACCCAGAAGCATGGTGCTACGTGCTTTGTGAGTGTAATTGCCTTTAATCCTCATAATGACCTAGTGAGGTATAGGCCTACTTCTTCCACGGCCTCACAGGTGATGAAATGATGAATGAAGGGGGGAGGTTCAACGACTTGCCAATACCTACCTATCTAGGCAGGGATCAGGACAGCCCCTGCTACCTGCAGGGCAGAATTCACCCTTC